ATAGCATCTCTGTCAACAACGACAAGCACATGAGTCCCAGTCCTGAAGACCACACCGAATTGCCAGCTGCCATACAATATTCTGTCCCCACTGGGAGCGATGAGGATCCCAGTTCCGTTAATCGGGAACAGCTTATCTCACCGATGGCCAGACAATATTCTGCCCATGACAACGTCGGTAGAGATATCAGGGCCACCCCCGAAGGACAGAGTGCCTCACCAACTGCTATGCATTACCCAACCTATGATACTCATAACCCAGCTCTTGATATTCCCAAGAACGGAGCCACTACAACCGGTGACACTCAGTTCATCTCACGTGGCGGGCAAGTGCTGCCTACAAAAGACAGGTCTATCGATCGAGCCTTGCACGAAGTCTCTTGCCGGGCTGGACCAAGTCGGGTCGGCAAGCCGCAAAAGAAGAATCGAAATGCTGCGGCCCCACAGCGCTCCGTTCGAATGCCAATGTCGGGGAACAGCGAGTATGGCTCTGGGTTCTCTATGTTTGACCATGCTCTTGAAAGTCTTCGCATGGCGGCTCATGCCGAGCAAGTCAAGCGCCAGCTTGTTCATGACACGGAAATAAATTTGAGCAAAGGTACTATTGCAGCACTTCAGGATAGCAATGATCTCCATAAGGATACAATCCAATCCCTCAGAGACGCAGATGTTATCATGCGCGCCAAAGTGAACCGGCAGGCCAATAGTGTGAAACAGCTGGAGAAAATTGTGAAGGGTCTTGAAAATGACCACGCATTGGTCAAGGCCACGGTCAAGAATTACCACGACGAGTACGACAAGACTTGGAAAGAGAAGATCCGAGAAGTGGAAGCCGAGAGAGCTTCCCTGGAGAGTGATTTTCATACCACCATCAATTGCGTGAATAAGAGCCGCGAAGCTATGAAAGAAACCTTGATTGACTTTAGCCATCAACTGGAACTTTCGGAAAACAAGCGGAAAGATCTCATCAATAACCTCAAGTTCCAGGGTACTCTCCTAGAAGCCGAGAAGAAAAGGTGTGCGTGTCTAGAAGAGCGGGTCATGTCTTCCCTACAGGTCATACAACATCATGTTGAAAACAACAGCAGTGTTGTTATAGATAAGCTCGGCAGCATTCAGACTTCGGTCGATGATACGACAGCCGACAAGAACCGAGATGCCTGCCTCAAGGAATGCATGGATGTATTGCACAGTCTCCGAGCAACACCCTTTCTCGCGGCCAAAGATACTCAGAAAGCCGAAAGAATGCTCCGATTCGTGCATGAGAGGCGAGTTACTAGGAATGGATAATTGAGTGTAACAGTTTCTAACTATTATATAGTATTGATTCGAAGCTCGGAGCTTTGTCGCGCTCTGTGCAAGAGAAGGAATTCCCGTCCGAGGACCTTCAGGGCTATATTCACAACCAGCTGCAGAAATTGAGAGTCGAGATTATCAAGTATGACGAGGCTTCAGCGGAGTGCCAGAAGGCTCGTCAGACAAACGAACATTTGGAGAAGCAGCTCGAATCGCAGAAAGAGGCCTACTGGAAGCTCGAGGAACGGGTCGGCAGTCTCCTCCATAGTGAAGCTGACCTCAAGACGCGCTCTGCTGAGATGGAGGTAGAGTTGAACGCCCTTAGGGACATGACCTGTAGCCATGATGCAGACCCTCCGGATGTCGAGCGAGAGGTTTACGAACTTCATGAGCAGTTGAAGAAAACCGATGGTGATTTACAGGTGGCCGTCGACAAGCTGAGTCATGCCGAAGAGCTTCGACAAGGGGAAGAGAGCGCAGCTGCGACTTGGAAGGTAAGATCGCCTCGAGGGTAGCAATCTTTGATACTGACATACGCAGAAATCGGCCGAGGAGAACGGGGCAAAGCATGCTGAGCTAGCCAAGCGGTTCAAGAAACTTAGGAAGGTAGGTCGAGGTATCTGGACCGTACCTCAGTCGCTGATTAGAATTGTAGGATATGGAGGATCTCAGCGAGAGGTATGCGCGAATAGACAAGGACTACCAGAAGAAGGTCCAAGATAAGGAAGCCACATGGATGAATGATCTCCACCGTGTGACTTCTGAGAGAGACGACAAGCAGAAGGCGCTACAGACTGCTGGCCGCGAACTTGATGCAACTCGAGAAGCCTTACAACGTGCCCAACAACAGCTACGCAGTGCTGAATCCGAGATGAAGAGTCTGAGTAAGGAGAAGACCGACGTCGAGTCGAAGCTCAAGAAGTTGCAGCGAGTAGCAGAAGAAAGCTCGAGCGCCTCGACTGAAATTGCAAATCTCAAGAGCCAACAGAAGCGAAAAGATGACGCAGTCCAGGTAAAAGAGCAAGAACTCAGCACCTTACGACAAGACAACGCTAGTTTGCGAAACGAGGCTTCTGCTCTCCAAGTGTCAATAAAACAACTTCAAGATCAACGCATCGAGAACCAATCCACTATCCAGGATTTTGGAAGAGAGGCAGATAATCAGTCAGCCGAGAATCGGAAGATGGAGACTACTCTTCAAGAAATGAAGAACCAGATCGCGGAGTTGAAGAATCAGAATCAAGACTTGGAATCAACCTTGAAAGGATCTCGTTCCATCGAGGCTTTGCTGAAGAACGCCCAGGCCAAGGCTTCCAGCGAGTTGGAGGGACTAAGACGAGAAATTGCCGGACTCCAAACTGCCCAACAAGCAATGAAGCAAGAGTCGGAGCGCACGCTAACTGAGGTTGATGGAGACCGGAAGAAAGCAAATGCAGAATTCTGCGCCGAGATTGGTGACTTGCAGAACCGTTTGATGCAGGCCAATGCTGCTTTGAAGGCGTCCGAAACAAATACTCAACGGATCGGAAAAGAGATTGAGCAAGCACTCGAAACCTACAAGAGTGTTACTCAAAAAAAGGTCCAACAGAACCAACAAAAGATGGAAAACGAATATAAACAGAAATTCGACCAGGAGCTCCAACGCCGAATGGAAGAGATCCGGGAGGAGATCGTGGAACAGAATCGTCAGAACATCGGGCCCCGTGAGTTCTCCCAGCTTCAGGCTCATCAAAGATCATCGACAACAATAACTACCTCGACGGCTTCGCAGGACCTTCACGGTTCAACCCCGAAAAAGAAGGTCAATCGTCGGAGCGCAACAGTTTCCACCGTCGAAGGGCTCTCTGGCGGTCAGGAAAATCTTCTTCTTGGGGGTTTGAAGGCTGCTGAGACTGTTCAGTACGAAGACGAATGGTCTGATCACTTTGACCTAGCTGATGCCTCATTCGCCAATGATCTTGGTACAAGAGAGCGACTTGACATGAATGGAGTGAGCATTCTTGAACCCGGTCTTGAAGTCGTACCTGACGTTCAGGCGGAGGGTCCATTGACGACATTTAAGAGTTTCAACCAGCATTTGGGTCCGAGTACATGTCGTAAAAGGAGTTCAACCTCCTCTCTTTCCGATCCCGATCCTCAAATTTTCAGCATACTGCAGGGCCCAGAGTCGAAACCAAATTGCCCAACGCGTGCTGCTGAAAGTCGTACACCAAGAAAAAACAGACTGCCCTCTAAACCGAGCAATATACAGACTCCAAGCCGGCCTGCCCAGGTGCCAATCCAGGAAACTCACTCTTATGATCGATCGACATCGCGAGCGAATACAGCCTCTCGTATGGTGGCCCTTCCTATTCCTAGACAATTCCCAGTCCTTGATCAAGCAAGTCAGGAACATGTTGTCTCTTCTAAATCTTCACGATCTCATCCGAGCTCATCTCAGCGGAGCAAAAAGGTGAGCCTCAATATGACGAGCTCTCCGGACCATGCTCATCGGCCATCTTCCAAGACAACAGCGATCTACGGGAACCATGTTGAAATGATATTCTCATCTACTCCTGGCCGTGGAGATGATGCGCCACGGGTGCTGGACCAGAAGTCTAGTCGAAAACGAAAGAGCTCTGCAGGCTATACTGGACGAAATACGCGCTCGAAGAGACACGAACAGCCGGCCCAATCTATTCCATCTGCTACTCCTAGAGGTGATCAGTCGCGCGACCGCGTCGTCCCAGGCGTTCCATCTCATTCACAGGAGCCCACACACTCTTCCTCTAGGTCATCGGCGACTAGCTCGGGCACCCAAACCTCTCGCCTTCCTCGTACCAGAAGTAAGTCTCCTGTCTCTCGTTACGGCCATGTAACCTTTATGCTCACATCGTGCAAGCAGGCCAGCGGAATACGGGTCGTTACGAGCTTAGCTTTCGCCGTGAATTGGGAAAATAGTCCTTTGCGATATCAATCCGAGTTCGAAGGTGATTTACGGAGCGGTCGCTGTCTGAGGAGGGTTTTCTAGCGCAAGGTCTCATTAGCAGTAATTCCGGAGGATCCACAACTCGAAGGCCGAATATGTGTATTCATGTTTTCGTAAGTCGCGAATGGCCTATTGTGTTGCAGGAATGCTGACTTCTCTCGAGAAGGAGGAGTGCGTCCCCATTATTTCTATTGTGCAGCAATAGAAAAATATGCCATGAAATGATCGGAGGGGAATGTTATTGATGCAATCGGGGCTATGTAAGGAGCATCATCAACATGGGCCTTTTGGAACCGCGCTGTCACAGGGCCATCGAACTAGGCTTCCCTCACCTGGGGGTGCGCTCTCTTGCGTGCGGACGGTAGACCTTATGTCAATGACAACATGGAGTAGGTTAGTGTACGGATAGAACAACTAAAACGGATCATTACATATACTGGACTTGGTTAGCTGACTTGGCTCAATGAGGTGGCGGGTGGTGTATTATGCCAGCACACTGTTCGTACCCGACTTCCTTTTAGAATGTACGGAGCCCGCTCTCTTTGTGTGTTGCTATGGCGGTAAGGAGCCCGCACGGGCCGGGTCGCCTGTTATTGCCTTCAACAAAATCCCCTCCCACTACTCTCATTTTCTCCGCAACCCCCAGCCAAACCATCACCATCTCCTCGACATACCTTCGGTAATCCATCTAGGCCCTCCTCTGAATTACTGGGATCCTCTTGTCGCTTGCATTATTGTCATACATCCTCTGCCGTTCGCAGCTGGTTCCGCTTGAGTTCCACGCTCTTTTCACTCAGATCTACCACGACTTCTTTTTCTCCGAGTCGAGACCATAGCCCATCATCTGTAAGGGCAATGAGAAGCAGCTCCGTGCCTTGGTGGCGCTCATACTGCGCATGCTGCCATCCACCATGGTCTCTTCCGAGTGGACTTGGAAAGCGGCCAGGTGCGCGCGACGTCGTCACAGTACACAGTAGCGTCGGCCTAAACCATGGCTCGGATCTGACCGTGAGGGATATCCATAACAATTTCAGTTCCTTTGGCTTCTTCTCGTTCATCTTCGTGGCGCTGCCCTCGCGAAAGCGTCCTCAGTGAGCTCGGCCTCCTCACTTACAACGCCCCACAACAACGCACCGCAGTAGTGTCTGCACAAATTGAAGAGTAAGTCTAGTCTTCGTGGATCCTACTCACCGTCCGTGTTTGCGTTGTTAGGCCCGAGGTACTTGCGGGCGAGGCCTTGCTGGGCCCCTCGAAGGACTTGCTAACGTCACTTGTGACAACGAGTGCTCTATTAACATCAACATGTACATCATGATACTGATGCGACTATTGAGTTAAGGCTATCGAGATATTCGTAACTGCCGCTGGCGACGCTAACATGGAGATCACTGAGAACAGTCGGAGCACTCGCTGCTATGCCATGTAGCCTGGACATCATTGTCACACAAGACGAGGAGACAACTCGAATATAGCTTTCTGGCACGATGAACTCTTTTTGCGAGCGGACGGCGACTTTGGTTGACCGATATTGCGGCTTTCGACTTTCGGTGACTTAGCATTTGCATGGTCTCCGTGCGCACTCAGCCAGGTGAGTACGCCTTGGAGTCAAACCAAACTGGCAGCCTGAGACCTAGGATCTTGTTAGTACTTTGACTAACATTTGGACGAGTGATACTTCTCTTAGTCTGAACCTCAGACATAACGACCCTCAGCTCTTATACTTATGCCTTCTCAAAGTCTCAATTGTCCCGATATCCTCCATGCCACACCTTTCACTGCAATAGATACAAAAGCGGCAGCAGAGCCTCCTCATAACATTACCACCGTCGGCTTTTTCGTGTTGTAACCTCCCGGGGATTCTCCATAAGAGAAATAACACATGCTCTCCCTTGACCGAAGTCTGGGGACGCAACTTTGAGGCTTGAAGCTAAGCTTGTCTGAAATAGCAGACAGTATTCAAAAGAAGTGGGTTAGGGTTTAGCACAACCCTTCTTGCCTCTTGAACGAGTGACACTGACGAAGACCAAGGCTGGATATACTATCCCATTAAGCCCAGTCAAAGTTAGTAGTTCCTTTTTCATGCTCCTACGTCATTCTCTTCTTTTCGTTCTGACAGATAGAACCGGGCTAAATCTGTGAAAATTCCCTGATAGATCACCAAAACGACGCCCGGATAAGATGGCATGGGTATTTCGGACTATCCTGGTCCTTGCCACTCTCTTCGTCAGCCATTACTTTTTTCGATCCTCTTTCCATCGACAATAGACCATGGACACAATACCCACAACTGGCACTCAGTACGTTCTGAATCTGTGTCTCTGTTATCCTTTTGTCTCATTCATCTTCCTTGTCGCTTCGTTCCACCTCTTCTATATACTGGCCTTGGTAAATGAGTGCGAATTCGGCCCATATCGTACTCATGAACCCTATCTTTCAGATAGTCAGGCCTAGATGAACGAAAATCGCAGCTTGTGGTATCTGGGGGAATTATCGTGTAGTATCTTTTATCACTCCCTGATGGCGAGGGAGTTTTCTTTTAACAGCTGCGTCGACGCACGATAGAACCCTTGCCAGGAAAGCGCGCCTATCCGCTATACGGCTAGAGGTTTTCGATGCTCGTACATACCAATCATTTTTTTTTTTGTTAATTTTGATATCTTGATGGTTTCAAGCAAAGTAGCAATTGCTGACACTTGATCCAGATTATTTTAAGGGTGCTTCTGCTCTTAGTCATTTCAAGGCTCTTTCGAAGACCGTGGACGCACACAGCTCTTCTCCTCATCCTCTTTATTTCCATAATCATTGCCATCGGCTATTCCCATCGTAGATGAACGAAAACCGTGATCTATGGGATATAGGAACCAAGCAAACAAAGAGAAGCTGTACCGAACATCGAGACCTATGGTCACCCCGACGGCGGGGGAGGTACATATGTGACGTTGCTGGTGCGTCTTAATTATGCCACGTCGACACAAGATAACAGTCCCTTGTGGAAACGCCCGTCCGCTTGCGTACCACTAGACTTTTTCTGTTCTTGTACATTCCCTGCTCTTCGAGTTTATTTATTTTTGAGGCTTTTGTTTCATTTAAGAATACGCCGCCGTGCTTCTAGAATTTATTGGTTGACAAAGTCAAGTAGGATCGAACATATGCAAGCGATGCACTTGAAGAGATCGCCAGTATGGGAAGCCTTGTCTTGCGTATGATAGTACGTCGAGGCGACGGAGTGAGGCTTTCGTAAGGTAGGATCTAGCCTCTTTTCGCTTCTGAACTGCTTGTAGAGGTGACCGCGGACTGGATACCAAATTGCGTATCTCCTACTCCCGAATTGCGTATCTGTTCATATTTAAATCCAGGATGGTTCGATTACCGCAGGGTGTGCTCATTTACTCTGATGAGCTGTCAGCCTAAGTATCGGTTAGTGTAATCCTTTTCAGTCTGCCCCTTCCATGATGATCAAACCCAACTAAAAGATAACTCTTTCCGAATTATTCTGTGGATAACAATCTCTGAGTCTTTCAAGTTTCCTACGTAACCTTGGCAAACCTTTTGGTACACATGCTCATATTGAAATAGGGTCAATAACAATTCGTTAAAAAGGATTGTTATCTATAAAAAGGTTAGTATAACCTGTCCTTTGCCCGCGGTGAGATGGTAATGGCGGCGATGACGATGGCGAATAAGCTCGAAGGAAATCTTTTTGACTACACCTAGTAATTCTGCATCCTTCTCGTAATAGCTGGTGATTGTTTCCAGGTCATGAATAGCTGCTTACGTTACAACAGCTTCAGAAACAGAGTCATATGGTTCGAGAACCTATGCCACGGTCAGTAAATCTCTCCTTTGTCATCTGGAGCTTTTGCCGTGGTGCACAAAGCAGAATAACATTGGTCGTCTCTCCAGACCATTGTGACGAGGTTGGCCTTTTTTGAATTCATTCCATTCCCTAGGTCCCTCCTTCTCTTGACCTCTGGGCTATTGCTCACAATACATCAGGGTCGAGATGTAATGAAAATAATAGACCCCGATGACATCGTTGACTATTCGTATCGCTCGTATCGCTCGTTCGCTTGTTGTGTCTGTCTATCCTAAATCAGCTGCTTAAAGGATAGTTCTTGTGTTGATCGATCGTTGGAAAGGAATCCTAGGACAAAGCACCTGTTAAGCATCAGCGCTCCCCTTATCTTTCGACTTTTATCCCCCTCGAAAATCTTCATCAGCCTGAGTTTACGCGTACTCGTCCGATGCTAAAATTTCTTCCTGCCGTTCTTCTCGATGCACCGTATCCGTCCAACTCGGACCTATCTTAAGAGGTAGATAAGAGCCTTCTAATATTGAAGCATACATCCCCGGGAGATGCTGCGAGGTAGCTTTTGTATGCTACTGGATGCCCCTGCTCTCTAACGCTCTTGGTTTGTTGCCCTCATAATTTCCTATTAACTCATTGTCTTCGTTGGCCACTCCCCGATATTTTCCTACCAGTCTGGGTTACGTGCCGTATGGCAGCACTTATGTAGGCTAGGTATCTGCGAGGACTTTGATCGTTGGAATTAATCGCTTGTTTGCCTTGCTTTGCCGATGCGAGCTGGGTTTGCTATGGGCGTATCTCACCTGGTAATGAAGAGAATTTTCGACTGGAATCGCAGGCCTTGTTTGTGTCGTCGCAGTGGTAGATTAGGTGATGGTCCATAGGTAGGTGTATCGTTTCGGTCTTCCCGTTCTTAATGTCATCTCAAATTGTCAAGCCCCTTGTACATTTCCGTTCAGTTTTCTGCAGTCCATACTGCTGCTTGCGCGATGGCATCGCCGGCTTCCCGGCGTGCGTCTTGCAGGTTGCGCAAGGCCAGTATTTGCAGGCACGTATGAAACCATGCAGGCCTTGCTTCCCTGCTACTCATGTGCCTTGTTCCTCAGTGTTGTCGTAATGTTTACCGGGCATAGTGTTTGTCGCTGCTTGTTGTTAACCATCTATAGGGTAGACGACGCTCAGAGATGCGGAGGTGAGTAGGAAGAGGAGGGATACCGTACTGGGAGTCTTTCGCATGTCCTACTGGATTCCTGATGCGAAAGCCGTAGGGGATTTCGGTTGCCGTCGAGCTTACAGCTGCTCAAGGAATAGATTCATCTTACCGGCGCTGAATGAACAGCTCGTCGTCGTCGGCGGCTGCCCCGCCACCGCCACCACCGTCGTCAAGGTCCATACGGGCTCTTCTGTGTCCTCTCTGGTTTAGCGAGACTCCCATTGCTGTAAGATATCGTGGTATGCTCAGTACGGGCTGGGAAAAACTCGCGCTTCCATTCTCCGCTTCGAACGTTGAGGCTCCTAACGCGCAGTGTAGGGGAGTTTAGATGGCTCGTTTATTGTTCAACAAAGACTTACGCCGTATGTCCCTCCTACCGCTATTCATGGCTCTCGCTGGTGTTGTTGCTGCTGGCATCGGGAGTTGGTGTGTGGTGTTGAGTCGACTGGCGGCCGTGCCTCCATCATGTTGCGCCTGCTCTTGCTCTGGCAGAGCCGAATGAGTTGGACCATATCAAACCAAACCAAGACCGCAAGGGTAGGAGATTTTCAAAGTCAAGATAAGTTACAACCGCCCCAGCCGGTAATCAAGCAAATCGCTCCCTGACAACTTGTCGCTGGTATTCGCCAACTAAGTTTGGCCCTGAGAAGAACAACACCCCTGCGCGGCGCCCTGGGTGCTGGCCCGAGCGTTCCCACAAAATCGATATCAACGCAATTGGGGCTGCATAGGCTACAGCAGTTAAGATCGGATTGGCACCATTTCCCTCGTGCCCAATTCTCTCTTTGGAGGTTCATAGTGACGGGGGTTCTATCTTGCACTAGATTAAAGAGTCATAAAGCCGTCAAGGGACACGTTCTATGGGAAGCTCTGTTGGATCCGCCGTCACATCTGCATGGTTCTTGCGGTCCAAAGGGCACTCAAGACAGCACAGCGAGGTCATATCGGGGTATGCAAGATGTTTTAGAAGCATGATATATATCTTTTGGTTGTCTCTCATTCCTCGTTCTACGTTCTACATGTGCCTCCATTCCTTATTGTCCCTGTCACCCCGAGAGAGGTTCTTGCAAGACTAGCCCGCAAGCCGCCTTTGCCACAACAACACAA